GAAGACAAAAACATTTAGGGAATGTATTCTTGATGTAGTTGGTGCGATGAGGGAAAACACTGACCGTTTTCCTAAATCAAGTCATTAGCTGGTGTATGGCCTTGTAGACAAACTTTTCTACTTACCTAATAGCTGATCCCCTTTTTCTAGTTGCATCTGTAATATGCACTGGAAGGGTATTGGAAGAGAGAGAGGAAAGTCCAGACGGAGAATGACTTTTCTTCACTAAAACCTTGGACAGTTGCTGAGAATCCTGGAAAAAAAAAGAAAAAAAAAAAACCAAAAAAAAAAAACCACACAAAAAACCCAACAAAAACCAAAGGAACTTCATTCAGTGTATTTTTCACAGCACAGAATCAACTCTGTTCCTCCCCCAGAGAGAACAGTTGGGGTATGTGGCAATGCACTCATTCTTCTCCTTTCTGTCAGTAGGAATTTATATGAGGGGCTGAGGGGAAGGAGACATGATTAGGAGAGTGGAAGGGTGGCTTAGCCTGAGCTGTCATAGCTTATCTCTGTTTAGAATTTTGCTTTCTGGTTTGTCCCACAATTCTGCAGTACTCCCAAGGCAAGGATGGAGGTCACAGGACATTAACCACCCATAAAGAAATGCTGTGCATTTAATAAGTTGCTGTATTGATGAGAGAAAGCAGAACTATCCAGTCATCTCACCTTTATCTTTTCATTAGCCTGCCTCTGCCTGCCATGGAGATTGGAAGTTCTTAGCTTGAATGGCTTATTACGAGTTGCTTCTTTGATTTCTTGTCTCCTTACTGCTTCCCTCTGAAATGCCCAGTAGAGTCCTTCAAAATCTGGTATTGTTGGATTAATCCTTGGCTTGAAGCTGAAACTTTTGTCCTGCAAGAAGCCAAGTCTTTCCTGCTGAGTTTTAGCAGCAGTTCGGGATTGAGGCTCCCTCCGATAGTTGCTGGTATCTATAGGAGCTATGGAGCTCTCAAGCAAATCCTTTGCTCTCATTTGAATGCGTATTTCTCTGTAGAGTTCAGCTTCTAATGAATCAAAAGAAAAACAATTAGAAGAATATGAGTGACATAAAAGGCTGTGAAATTGCCACTGCATAACCGTAAACTTTTCTTTATGATGGTAGCTACGCATGTAGGAGAGACCAGACATTCTGTGTTCTCTTTCCCTACTTTCCAGCCTCTCTCCTCTGCCTCCCAGGAGAAAAAAACAACACGGATTACCAGGAAAAAACTGGCAGAGTCTCTAAGGTATGAATCTCTAGGTATCTCTTTCACTTATCTGAGTAAGTTACTGGACAGGCCTTCTCCTCCCTTTCCTATTCTTTGGGGTATCAGACAACTTGTGACCTTTGTCTTGCAGGGTTGTTGTGTTAATCAAGGTTCACCTGGGACTTTACGTCATTATGTTGAGTGCATGATCTACATGGGCTGTTCAGATACACTTGTGATGGATGATGCCTTTTCTATATTAAGATTCAGCAGTGTTTCTCTATATTGGAAAAGATTTTAAGTGAGGAGCGTCTGGTGGATGGATCATGTCTTGTGAATTCTGTGACAAACTTCCATAGAAAGAATGGGTTTCAATGTATAGTCTCAAGTGACTCCTTTCCTGTGCTGCACTAAACATTTGTAAAAATGCAGACAGTTGGCCTTGGGGTGGCTTTTTGCTTTTAAGAAAAAAAAGAAATCAATACTGCTGTTTGCAAACTAAGACTTTTTTTGAGTCTATTTGTAACTTTGAACTGACTGAGGTATGAAATGTTCATTCCTCCTCCCTCCCCATATACCAGAAACAGAACAGTAGCTTGTCCTTTGCTCTCTTTTACCTTTCTAATCTATTTAGTTTATTATGCCACAACAGAATGTTTTCTGATGAAAAATGAACTGGTGTTCATTTTCATGTACATGGTGTACTCAGGAAGAAATCAGTGGGAAATGGTGAAAAAAAAATAAGGGGTGAGAAAAGCAGTAAGAATTATCAAGGACGGGTTTAGTTCCTATATTCAAGCATGAAGTCTGCATTGCTTGCTTCAAACTTACAACAGGTTAGGGGGGACCTTAAACCATCTGAAAGAATGTGAGCATCAGGAAATTTTCCTTTGCTGTTCCTCTGACCAGAATAGTCCTGATACCTTCCTCCACTGGTTTAGCACTTAAGAAGGTGGAGAGCGAGTGGGAAGGTAACTGAAAACATCCGAGAACTGCAGGAGAGACTGGATTACTGCACCATCACTTTAAAACTGAACTAACAGCCTCATTTGGGCTCAGGAAGTACATTTCTTCTAGGGGTCCTGTGCAGCACAGATCACTTGAATGGGACTAAAATTGTCAGTTTCAAGATACTGCACAGACCTCGGGACACTTCTGGTACTACATCTGTCTTCGTATTTGTGCCACAAATCATTTATGTCCCTGTAGATTAATCAAAGGTATGGAATCCAGTGCAGTGAAAGATTCCCAAGCTAGCATGATTTGCAGCACAAGGGATGTGGAAATCTGTCTAAAGAGCTGATTGTTCCCACATATCTGGGGAGTGGTACAGAACTGCTGCTGCTGCTATGGGTACAAGACTACTAAATTGTGGCCACTCTACTGTAAAGGTATCTAGATAAAATGCAAGGACCAGTGATATGCAGGAGACTGGACAACACAAGGAGATGTAATGACACTGGCTTTTTACTCCAGCTAATGCCCTATGAGCCATGATTCTACCTCCCAGCATGGAGATACCAAGGGACAGGCAGGGAGTTAACAGGAAGAGCCCTGGCATTTTACCTTTGAGTTTATCTCCAAGAAGTGGGCCATAAGTAGAATTAGGAATTTTTTTACTGGCTTGCTTCTGTTTGGAGCTGTCATTTGGGGTTGCTGCTGCCAGGAACTTTTGTCTGATAGCTTCTTTCTTTTTCTCCTCCTTCTCCAGGAAGCTGAAGGGCCTCAGGGTTGAAAGCAGCAGCTCCTTTCTTTTCTGTGTTGCTGTTTGCCTGCGAATCTCATTCTGCATCATTATTTCTTGATAAAGGGGCAGAAACACATGGGCAGGTACAGGCTGTGCCCGAAACTGTTTCTGACATTCAGCATCATCCTGGCTTTGCCTTTCATCTTTCTGTATGTCTAGTTCAAGAAACATGTATGACTTCATCAACTGGGACTTTTTGTGAGCTTCCCGCAGAGTCATTTTGAAAGGCTGAGGGATGGTGATGGAAGGAATCCAGGGAGAAGAAGCACTTTTTGGCCTCAAGCGGGATTTAGGAATCAAGGGAGGATTTTGCTGATCCCAGGTACTGTCCAAGGTGAGGTCAGTCAAAGAACTGGGCTGCCTTTTGTTACCAGATGTACGACTAAGACAAAGACATCATGAAGGGGAAATAAGTGAAATTATTTTAAAAATTAGATATATTTTATAGGAGACACTGTTGATTAAAAGAAAGACACTGTAGGTGATCTGGTAGTTAAGACAAGCTTAAGGTTTATCATTTTTAGGCTCTATATTTTGCTTTGCTACCAAAGGTGGTGAGCAGAGCTTTGCCTGCTTCTGTTTTCCATGTATGAAATGGTGGTTATGCCTACTTAGCTTTGTAATGCAGTTTACTTTGCTGCTAGCACTTCATTGCCAGAAAAAACTACAAGTAATCCCTAAAGTTGGAACTTTCTGGTTATCTGGCTGATAGCTACTTAACATTAAAGACAAACTTAGGCAATAAATTAGGCACACAAATCCTAACAAACTGCACCAAACACTAGCATTCCCAAGATTCTGATGAAAGAGCAATTGCAATGAACTGTGTTAGTGCAACTCTTAAGAGGTTCAGCTGGAAACTTTGTAACTAGGATGACCATATAATTGATTGCAAGATTAAAAACAAACCAGGACTGTCCTGGGTCTCATTGAAATAGCGAACTTCTATGGGCATGTTTGAGAGTGATTATGAAACAGAGTAAAACAAGATATTTAGGGAAGGAATAAATGCAGGTAAAATGAAGGATTGAGATGGATAAGGGTGGGATAAGTACAGGAAAAGGGGGGAAACAGAAGGTGCCAATCATGTATAAATGTGCTCCTGGTCCATACACTTGACTGGCGATTGCTGCACGCTGTTCTTCATACATTATTTCCTTTGTAAGAGTGTGTGTGTGTGACCTGCTAGTGAACTTCACTGAGAAAGACAAGAAGTCTGAAAACTCCGTGTTGGAGACACTACAGCTCTGAATGGTGGATGCTGTGAAATGTGTGTGACCTGCTAGCAAATTTTAAGCATGATTAGGTGATGAGCAGGAACAGGATTTGTGCTGTTCACATTTTATGTGAACGCTGCTTATCTGGGCACCTATTGGCCCCATCCTCTCGTGTGTGAATATGCTTGTGGTTAGTGTTTTGGTACTATATATGTGCATCTTGGGACTTCATGCTCCACTTCAACAGCAGTAGGAATCCCACATGCCATTCTGCCATCCTACCTTAGAGCCTCCCGCAACTTGTCACGCAGCACTGCTGTCTCCTGCCTGAAACCCTCCAACTCCTCATCCTCTTCGGATACCCCGAGATCATTCCATAACTTTGCCTGGTGCAGTAAGCCCGGCTCTAGCGGTGACTGCTGGCCCCCCATCCCGACAGGCCGTTCCCGGCTCCTCACCGGTGGCAGGAGGCACAGCAGTCGGTCCGTTACAGCCTGAGGGGATACCGTGTCACCTGCAAGGAAAATAACGAACTGGAGACATAGCCGTTTCGAGGCCGCAACCCCAACCTCCGCCCTCCCGGCGCTACCTGAACCCCACCACCAAGATCGAGCCTCACCCGCAGGTCACCGCCTCAGTCCTCCAACAGCACTTTATTCCGCTTCTCACCAATCAGCGAAGCCGGCAGCGCCCTAGGCCCGCCTTTTTGGCCTCAGCAGCCAATCAGACTCCAAGATGGGAAGCACACTCTGCTCGCTCATTGGCCCTCGGGAAGAGGTGTTTTGTGTGGCTCTTGTCCCTAGGTATGTTGCGTTGTCATGGTTTCCCAGAGCTACTTCCGTTCAACGTTGTGTGGTCACTTCCGGAGCCATGGCGGTTGTGTGCTGTTGGGGGCTGTTGGCTCCTCTCGGTGGGCGGTTGCTGGCCGGCCAGCGGGCTCCTTTATTGTCCCGCTCTGTTGCTGCTGCCGCCGCGCCGCTCTACGATGTGGTGGTGTCTGGTGGGGGCATGGTCGGGAGCGCCATGGCCGCCGTGCTCGGTAAGCAGGTGACCTTTTCGCCCGCCGCGGTCGGTGTTGTCTGTGCTATCGGCCCGGCCCGGTGCCGGCCCCGCGGGGCTGCAATCGCGACCGCGTCTCCTCCCGCCCCTGCTGCAGAGGTCGCGGAGGTGTTCGGATCTCCTGCACCGCGTTGTGAGAGTTCAGCGAGTCGTGGGGTTTGTGTGCGAAACGTCAAACTGGGGGGGCTTTTCCAAAACCCACACGGGTCACCATGTGGAATATCGGCTGCTTTTATAATTCGACCTTAATTAATTAATGTGTTGATGGTAGTGTAACTATGTGGTTATCACTTAAGATCTTAATATTCAAGATCCTTTTGTAGAGTTTCCTTATTCCTGCATCTTTTTGTGACATCACTCTAAAGCAGACTTGGAGCTGTTTGGTTAGCTGATCGTTGTGATGAGCCATGTCCTATTTATACGTGTGTGTATGTATTTGTATGTTAATGCAGCCATTACTTTAAATTCTGTATGCTACTTGTGATTCTGTCAAACACAGTCACCCCTAAATTGCCAATGCGTAATTTCAGACATTGCTGAAAATATTTTTCTGATCCTAGGTTTGATTCGGAGAAATCAATTATTCTCTAACTCTGTAATTTAGACACTGGAATACCGCATTCAGTGGATTTGTGTTTGCTCTATATCACTAAAGATCCTGAGAGTAGTGTCAGTTTATTTGTAACATTGTTTCAGAAGGTGTAATAGTGACAGAAACTTAAAGAAAAGAGTGCAAAGTAGAGGGGGAGCAAAGGTCTTGAGCAGTAAGTGCTTTGGAAGTGTAAGGGTTTGCCTTGCACACTTACTGTGCTTGTGTTGTTGACCACAGTGGAAATGAAACAGCATAAGGATTTCCCACCGCCAGCAGCGATTCCTGAGGCTAACATGCAGGTTTGAGACCTTTGAAGAGTTGAGGTTATGTTATGCATAATCTGGAAAAAGCTCAGGATACTCCCATTATTAGGCTGCAGTAGCAGCAAACTCTGCATGTTCTAAGGACACCGCTCTGTTGCCATAGCAGTCAGATGCAGTAAGAATGGCTCAGTCAGCTAGTGTGATTTACTCTACTTGAGTCATCTCTTTATTCTTTTTCAATTCTCTTTAACTGAAAGTAAAAGTCTAAACTGCCAGTGCTATCCCACTATCAGCATATAAGGATAAAGAAAACATTAATGTAGTTGCTAAGGAGCACAGAATTTTTATTTTGATCTCCTGTTCTAAGTGGTGAGTTTATGTTTAAGCTCTGAAAAATGTGTTCTGAGTGTGGAGTTGCATTGCAGACTTTGCCTATTAATACTTAAATAACGAACTTGCATAACAAGCTAGGCACAAATTTGTAAAAAAAATGTGAACTTTGTACAAAAAGAAAACTTTTAATCTGTGCTTTAACTACAAAAGGTTTGTCTGTCTCAGTGACAGGATTGTAGTCAGGAAGTTTTAAAATACAGAAGTTTACTTGCCTGGTCAAAACCTGTATCATAAATGCATTTCTTTATTGAGTTTTGCAACTACTCTTGTGTTATTACAGAAACATATAGCTGTTACTGATACAGGAATAAGGAATGAGATTTTTGGCAGGAATGTTGTAGCAAAGCATGTATTTGCTTATTTTAGGGCATGCTATCCACTTCCATGATAAGAAGATCGCTTTGCTGGAGGCTGGTCCTCGGAAAGAATACAACCATGTGCCAGACACCTACAGTAACAGGGTCAGTTCTATCTCCCCAGGATCAGCAACCCTTCTAAGCAGTAAGTATGTTTGCTACTGTTTGTGTTTTTAACAGTATGTTTGAGCTGCTTTCAATTTGACAAAACCCCTTTGAACATGTGCTGCCGTCTTCCTAAACTCAACAGAATTGTGTGCCTTTGTCTTTCAGTATTCTGTATGCCGAGTTGTGGTGATTAATTAAATTAAATTGATAACAGGGATCTGTTTTCTGGTATCGTAGTCTGATCTGTTATATAATTATTTGTGATGCTAGCCCAGCAAGATGTTGTGAGGTGCTGTCTACAGCATCTGGAATGCTGTGTTCACAAAAGATGCACATACTTAGTGCTCTGTAGTCTGGTAACTCACTTCTGACTAATTTTCATTTTAAAGATTTGAGCCTTGATTCCTTATGGAGAAAGAAATGTTTTAAACAATGATGGCCATGCATTTGTGTGTGTGTTTTATTACTCAGTGATGGGGCAGAAAGAGTTGACTATTAAATCACATTGTCCATGGAAAGCACTTGATTCTTTTCTGCTGGCCTGTGTTAACAGTAAAACAATGTGATGCTGGAGCTGTGACAGTATTGAGGCAGACCTGGCCCTGTCTAGGGATGGCACAGGCAGAGTCTGGGCATTGATAGACAGGGAGGGAGAAGTTTTGTTTGGGTCTCAGTGTCAGATGTGAACCTGTATTTCCATGCATTTGTGTCTTTTTTCAGGTTTTGGTGCCTGGGATCATGTCTGCAGCCTGAGATTCAAACCATTCCAGCGAATGCAGGTGCCTTACTTAGGGCTGCAAATATACTATGTCTGTCTCTTGTAACTTCTTAGAAGTACTTACATTAATGATCCAAAGTTTTTTTTTTACTTTGGCAAAGGGCAGGTTATGCTTATGATGATTCTTGTTACTTTTTTTTGGGGTAGCAGTCTAATTGCAAGTTCCCACCCTCAGAGTCTTGATGTTACAAGATGAAACATTTATTCTTAATGGAAGCTGTAGATATTGAGGCAGAGGTACTTGCCAGGAAATAAAAGTAAAGGTGTGTGTTGCTTTTGGTTGGGATAGAGTTAATTATCTTCATATCAGCTTGTATGGTGCTATGTTTTGGGTTTGTGATGAAAACTGTTGATATCACAGGCAATTGCTGAGCAGTGCTGACACAGAGTTGAGGCCTTTTCTGGCTCTCCCACCACCTCAGCAGTGAGCAGGCTGGGGGTGCTCAAGTAGTTGGGAGGGGACACAGCAGGGACAGCTGATCCCAACTGACCAGAGGGATACCCCACACCACATGGCATCATGCTCAGCAATAAAAGCTGATGAAAGGAAGAAAGGACACAGACACACAAACACATGGACACACACATACATACATACATTTGAAGTAATGGCATTTGTCCTCTCAAGTAACTGTTATGTGTGATGGAGCCCTGCTTTCCTGGAGATGGCTGAGCACCTGCCCGACAATGGGAAGTAGTGAATGAATTCCTTGTTTTGCTTTGCTTCCACATACAACTTTTGCTTTACCTATTAAATCGTCTTTATTTTAACCCATGAGTTACCTCACTTTTCAATTCCTTTGCCCATCCCACTGTGGGGGAGTGAGAGAGGCGCTGCATGAGGCTGAGCTGTGTGCTGGGGTATCCCAGAGCAAGGTGGTAGGGGAGCTTTATGTACTAATTATGTAGAAAAGAAGTAGCGATAAAAAACTTTTGTTGCAATTAGTTTTTGAGATGCAGCTAGATCATTGTATGAAAAGAATTCTGTGATGTACTTCAGTTGCTGGGAACAGACAGTAATCCTGGATGTTTCCTCTAGTTCTGTATTTCTAGATTGCCATGTTCCTTTCCGGTTAAGATGGATACGTTCATAGTCCCTGAAAGGAGAAACACTTCTTCATCGTGTAGCTTCGTGTAATGTATTTTTCCTTTGTAGGTGTGGGATGCTTGTTCAGAAGCCATGATCGTTTTTGAGAAAGATGACTTAGATGACATGGGTTATATAGTGGAGAACGATGTCATTATGTCTGCTCTCACAAAACAGTTAGATGTAGTAGCAGGTACTGGTCAACTTCTTTAATATTTTATTTCCTGCAGAGAGCTTTCAGTTACTTGTCTTCCGTTATGTGCCCTAAGTTAGAGGAGTGAAAAATCTAATGAGTAGCCCTGATAACTCTGAGACATAAGCAGTTTCTTGAATTAAGGGGGGAGGGAGGAATCTGTATTCCAAAGGCTACACAGCACAAAGGGAGTTTCATGCATAGTTCTCCAGAACACAGTCTCTCCAAAAATAGATTTAATTAAAAGATTGTAGCTTTCTATCCAGAGCAGGCCTTGCAGTGACAAAGGGTTGGCCAGGTTTGGTCTTTTAGGGTGCCTTGAGAATTGTAGCGCCAGATCTTGCAATGCCAGTAAGACACACGTGGCCTTTGCTTTTGTAGTTATGTTTCCTTTTTTCATACCTGTATCATGCTATGACTGTGGTACTTTGTGTTCCCATCAGACCGGGTGGAGGTTTTCTACGGGAGCAGAGCAGTGGGGTATACGTGGCCCCTCCCCTCTCACAGCTGTGGCACAAGCCCTTGGGTCCAAATTGAGTTAGCTGATGGACGCAGACTTCAGGCCAAACTGCTGGTAACTAAGCTTTTCATTTCTGTTGATCAGGCGTCATCTCTCTCCCAAGTCCTTTCCCCTGGATTTGGTTCTGATTCCATGTGTGCCACTCCACCCAAGTGGAGGGCTTGAATGAGGTGAGTGGCTAATGCTGTCAGAGATGCTATGGGACACGGTGCCTGACGCAAGAAGTCTGTGCTGAATTGGACAAAAGCAGAAGGGGCCACCTCTTCTGTTTTTTTGGGCAACCTTTTTTTCTGAATAAACATAAAATAACTTTGTGCAGGCTGAGGTTTATAGACTGGAATATTGGCTTTCTTAGGACTTGCTGAAGAAGTTGCTTTTTATCTCTTTGTTTTGTAGATCGGTGCAGATGGTCATAACTCCGTAGTCCGGAAGGAAGCTGAAATTAGGAACATTGAGCATCAGTATGACCAGTCAGCTGTGGTGGCAACTCTTCATTTGTCTGAGGTGAAATTCTGCTGATTGACTCTTCCATAAGCAGGTGAACACCTTAAGCAGGTGATCCAGGTCTCTAATTGATGAGTGTCCACTTGGGTTTTTTCTTTTTTTTTTCCATTTTAGGCCACAAACAATAACGTAGCATGGCAGAGGTTCCTTCCTACAGGGCCAATAGCACTTCTTCCGGTAAGATGACTTCTGGTCTCTGTAGTTATTTATTACTTTTTAATTTTTATGTTCTTTTCTAGTAATTCTGTTCCTGTCTGGGCCTTTCTGTGGTATTGCTGTCTCTTAAGAATTTATCCCCCTACACTTTACTTTTCAGTTACAGCATTTTTTTTTCCTTGCTGCCCTCTCAGTTTATCCTTAGTATTTCCCACTTGCAGCAAGTTGGACTGGGGGAGTATATGCAGAGGGACTGGTGTGGGGCAGGGCAGTGGGAGATCTCTGCACTGATAATTTATTTTTGCTTCTTTTTTTCTTAATACTTACTCTTGACATTCTCTGGAACTAGTTGTCTGACACTGCCAGCTCTCTGGTCTGGTCTACGTCTCATGAACACGCATCAGAACTTCTTGCTATGGATGAGGAAAGTTTTGTGGATAGCATCAACTCTGCCTTCGTGAGTATCAGCCTTGTGGCAGGTATGAGGCTTTGTTGTAATCATGAGAAATATAATGGAACCCTACAGCTTAAGGGATAGTAATGGGAGAGGTGGATTCTTAAGTTCCTTCCCCTGGTGAGGATGATACTCAAAGGCACTTAGTAAAGAAGGAATGAACCCCTGGGACGGAGTTAGGTTAGTTAGAAGAAGTTGAACTAAATTTCCAGAAGGTGGGAAAGGTAAACTCATCCTAGTTGGAAGCCTCTGTTCTAAAATTATGAAGATAGTTTCTTTTACTGTATAGTTTTGTCCAGGTTGTTAAAATTCAGTATTTGGAGCTCATCTAGATTTTTTTTCAATTGGATTCTTTTGTATTTCTGGTTTGGATTAACATGTAAAGGTTGGTGTGTTTTTTTCAGTGGAGCAATGTAAACCACTCTGACTTCATTGACACTGCTGGGGCCATGTTCCGATCTGCTCTTTCATTCTTGAGGCCCTCAGGGAGTGCAGTCCGTCAGCTACCCCCAAGCATTGCTAAAGTGGATCCAGAGAGCCGAGCCATGTTCCCTCTTGGAATGGGGCATGCAACAGAGTATGTCCAGCACCGCGTGGCCCTGATAGGGTAAGGTCCTGAGCAGCAGCCCTCATGTGAGTCAGGTGAATGCGATTAGAAATGATGTGAGTGCAGCATCAACAAATTAGATAGTTAGAAATAATCTGTGGTTTAAGTTTGACACTATTGAGGCTCATGTGCTCCTGTGCCAACAAAGTCCTTTTGTGTGAGAAGCAGTCTGTCCATTGTGTGAGCTTTCGATGTAAGTTGCAAGATAATTATTTCCCTTTCCTGGTTTGAGTAGTCCAGTAAAACAATCCAGTATCTTGTGCTGACCCTGTACTTGCCCAAACATTTTAGCATCCATTCTGTGTACCAGTTTGAGATTTTAAACTTGCCTTTTTTGAAACAAATTACAAAACTTACAAATTATTCCGGATGGGATGTCATAGGCTTTTGTACAGTGGCCTATAGAAACATGAGAATATCTCATCTTCTGCATTCTGAGGTTACATTTGCTTCTTCTCTGCCACAGCTGCAATACACTGGTCGCTTACAGTAGTTCTAGGATGCTGGATTATACTTTGGATGCTTTTCATCTTTCCAACTTGTGAGCCACTTTGTGACTGGGAGCACACTGTGCTTTATAGCTTGTTAAATGATATTAAATTTCATACCCAAACTTTATTTCATTTCTCTAAGACTCCCTTATCAATATGTCTGGCTTTGTCCTTTATAAGTAAGTCTGATCATAAAAGGACTTTGATTTTGTTTCTATTCAATGATATCCCACTTCTGTGTGTTCATGATGTCCCTCTACTCTGTGAAATGTGGCAATGATATAATATACCTCCTGTTGTGCTCAGGTCACTTACAAAACCACCAAGGCCTGTTCCACACATAGGCTGAGAGGACTTTGGCTAGTCACCTCTTTATAATTTTTCCTTTCAGAACTGCCTTTTTTTATCTTTCTTTTGTTTTGCTTCTTACAACTGGAGAGGCAGTCAGGTTGTTCAGCTTAGCATGCAGAGAGGTACTGGATAAATCATGTGTGCTGCTGTAAGGTGTTCGTTGTGAGGAGGTGAGGAGTGCTACACTGACCCTTCTGGGGTTTGTCTGCCATTATGGCTTTCTTCAAGAAGGGATATAAATTTCTGCCTTCTCTTGCTCCAGGGATGCAGCACACAGAGTCCACCCACTTGCAGGACAAGGTGTAAACCTGGGCTTTGGTGATATTGCATGTTTAGCTCATCACCTCAGTGCTGCAGCCTTCAATGGGAACGATCTGGGTAAGGACCCAAGACACTGATGGGGCAGTGAGATGATTGGTCTTACAGGCCTTTGCTGCTAACACCAGGACAAGCATTACCTCTACTGCAGGTTAAGCATGCTGCTGTCTTGTGTTTGAAAGGCACCAGCATCTTAGAAGCAAAACTGTTCTGATGTCCATTGGCTGTGGCGCAGTTAGAGAGTCTTGGATGCACTTTTCATCCCACAAACCTCAAATCTGCTTTAAAAAAAAATCTGCAGGATGATAGCTAAAGAAGTGGTGATGAAGAGCACTGGCTGATAGAAGGAGGCCTTAATTAAGATGGACCATTTCTCTGCTCTCTGTGTTTTCAGTTGCCAGTGAAGACTGCTATAAGACTGTAGATAAGACCCACAATTGTTTAAATAGGAGCATTCGATTATCTCTTCCAGGGTCCTTAAAACATCTCTTAAAGTTTGAGACAGAGCGTCAGAGGCACAATGTCTCCTTGATAGCTGCTACTGATGTCCTAAAGAGGCTTTACTCCACGAAGCTGGCTCCCTTGGTATTGCTGAGGACGTGGGGATTGCAAGCAACAAATGCCCTGCCTCCTGTCAAAGTAAGAACCTCCCTTTTGTGAAGGCTGTAGGAAGAGTCTAGAATATTCATGAAACATATGGAAGCTGTAAAGATTTTGTTTGTTTGTTTGTTTCATTTTTCTTTTAAATGAAGCATTTTTGGTGGGAAAATGTATCATGCTGAAACTGAGGTTGCGTGTCCCAGTTGAACCAGAGGAGTTCCTAAATAACCAATGGCTCAGTCGCAACTGTTTGCTCTTGCAGCACAAGAGAAGATAAGGGATCTAAGTGTCTATACTCTGTATCAGTAGTTAGGGGTTAGAAGTCATTCATAGTCTTTGGCTTTATTTTGCTATGGCATGAAAATGTGGAACTTAAGCTGCATTCCAGAAATGCCCTATGAAACCCAGCACTATGAAGACTCATCTTCACTAAGAATATCAGGTCACTTGACAGATGTGGTGTGCAGCTCAAATGAGTTACCCGTTTCTGTGCTGTTTTGTGCCTTGTGAAATTGTTCCCACATGGCAGAAGTGCAAGTCTCTCTAATGGAAATGACCTGAGGAAGGCAGTGGTGAGGAGGTTCAGTCTTAAACACAGACCCTCTATTTGCAGCCCGTCTGCCTAAATTCTGATTTCCTTCACTGAATTTTCATGAGGTTCAAACCCTCATTTCTGGGTTTGAATGTTTTATTCCACAAATCAAGTCATCTTCTTCGTATTAAACACAGGTGGCCTGTTTCCTTTGTGTTACAGTCACTGTTGAACCATGATAGTGCTCTTAGAGGAACAAATCCTAAGGTGTAGTAGCTGCCACTGGCAACATGTCTTTAGTAGTTGCACTGAAAGGCTATGCTGCTGCTTCAGTGCTCAGAGGTGGTTTTTTTTGTTACTCTGTTTAAAGCAGAAAACTAAATGAAGACCTCTTCCCTGAGCACAGAACCTGTGGTAACACCTCTGTTTTCTGCTGCTTCAAAAGGAATGTTGCAACTTCCTTAATTTGGTAGCATATAGGAAGAGTGCTTTGCACTTGTCTAGAAAGGCTGACAAAACTTGCCTATATATGTAAAAGGGAAAGAGACTGTAGCTGGTTTCTAGAATGTCTGTTTCTTACTAGTTTACAAATGAGTTATATTTTTCTTCTCCTCTTTTAGGAGCAAATCATGGCTATTGCCAGCAAGTGACATGCTGTCAGTTTGGAACAGCAGCTTACCTGTGAACACGTTGCCCTTACAAGGCAAATGACTGACTTGAATCCTTGAATTATGTTATTTTAATTTGACAATAAAACTGTCAACCATGGGTTTATGCAAAAGTTGTGTCTCATCTGCTCTCCTCAAGAGGATTTAGGGTCTCTTCCTGTAGTACCATGATGTCTTCAGCCCAGAACAATCTGTACAATGTGCTTTCAATTTGGGCATCTTGGGTTGAAGACTGAGGTGGAAACAGTTGCAAACCCAGTGCTGAACTGTGCCAGCTACAATTTTTACTGCTTAATTACTTTTGGTTTTCTCTGACTTGATTTCTAGAGCTGCAACATCACTCCGGGGGCTCTTAGCACTGCCTGGACTCAGAAAGGAGGGGTAGTGTTTAGCGGAGGGAGACAGCTCATGGTGGCAGATGTTTAAAGCTTTAATCTGTCTCTCACCCTTTTCCCTGCTCTTCTCTTAGTGTATTATTTAATAATGAGGTTTCTTGTGGAACAGTCTTAAGGGCTGCATGGAAAAGAGATGCAAACTAACAATAATATCTAGGAAAGAAAAGTGTACCACAACATGTTGAATATTGTTAAAAATGCTTTAATTACTAAAATAGACTTTCAAAATATTCTGTTTTAGGTTCTAAACACCAGCCTCCTGGGTTAGGCATTTGACACTCATAAAATTAAGTGAGTACTGCCCATGGGCAAGATTTTCACATCTGGTTGACCAGTATCAGGAATTAACAGCAGAAAGAATGAAACTTATGTTTTGAACTGAAAGCCATTACTTGTGCTTGTTCAGTCACTCATATTAGGCAGTTCCTGTTAGTAATTGGCTAAAAGGCATTATGAAGGAGGAGAGAAAAAACAGGGCTGAAAGTATAACTCTTCTCTTAAAAGGCTGCTTAAGTCTTTAGTTAAGCTAATAAATAATCTCATTGCACAACGGTGTGAGGAATTGACTGGCTTCTATAGTTCCCCCACCCACATTGAGTAGTTCAGATGTAAACAGCAGGGGCTCAATGCTGCCATTTCTGGCAAGAAAAATCTTTGAGCAGAGCTCCTGTTTCTCTCATGACTGCAAGATCAGGCCCCTGATAGAAAGCAGCAGTTTTGTTTCTGTTAATGAATAGTGCCACTGACAAAGGAAGGCCCTGAGCATTCAGATTTAATGCAACTTTGGTACTGGGAAGCTGATGCTCCCACCTAGCATCTGTAGTAGCAAAGTCTGAGGCAAAGAACACAGAAAAGAAACTTGGTACCTGTCCTGTTCTAGACCATCCTCCCTTCAGACAAAATCAAACCCATAAGTACGCCTCAGGGCTAATGTCTCTTCAGTTGGCGGAAATGCTGCTGCTGCTTGTCCCTTTCCCTTCCTGTTTCAAATACAGCCTCACTGCTTACAGCTTTCAGCCCCAGGATGTAGTAAGAGTGTGTCATAGTACTGGCTCAGACAGGAAGAAGACTCTGTGATTATTAAATTAGCTAGTTCTCAGGAGTAATGCAGGGCTGCTGGCAACCACTGCATCCTGTTTTGTGTTCTCTGAGAATACAAAAGTGAATACAGTTGTTCACTGAAGACAAAATGAATGCACCTGCAGTCACCTTGTGCAGACCACATGATAAACTAAGTTTTGCTGAGCAGTAGGAAGGGGCTTAAGAAATGTTTGTGGTTGAGAAGAGGACACAACTACTTTCTTCAAACAGAACCTCCCAGTGAGGAAGGAACAGAAGATTGGTGTGACACTGAGGAATTTCCCACCATGGATTTCAAAACAGATTCTGGTAAGGGGGAGCACAGGTAGGATGAGCATTTCGTGTTTCAAAGAAACAGCCTGAATTTACAGCAAAGTGTCAGGGGTGGGGCAAATACAGGTGGCTCCATCCCCAGCCCTTGAACTCCTGCTGCTGACTGAGCTTGTTCAATCAAAAGCAGGCCTTGCACCCTAGTGCCATCAAACCTGAGATAGAAGGAGAAAGCTTGATCAGCTACAGTCAAACCTGTCCTGCTAATTAGAGGAAGGTACATGGTGTTCACGGTAAGGCAAATTCCTAAGTCTCCAAACTGCTTGGCAAGATCAGGAAGGGCACGAGTGCACTACTTCCTTCCATTGCTGGGAATTACCAACTACTCTCAAATCCAGTCTGCAGAGAAGGTATCTTGAGGGCAGTCTTTGGTTTTACAGAAGAGGGAAAGGTGTGTTACGGCAAACAGGTAACTGCAAATGCCTGACTGGGAGGTGTTCATCCCAAGAGATCACTGGATAAAAGCTTCCCTGAGTCACATGAATAATACCTCTCTGTTCTTATGACTGGGGGAAATTAATCTTTACCTTACACATTCCATGGTGAGTAGAAGATGCTGATTTTTGAAGAGCCAGCTTCAAAAGTTGTCTCCACAGCCATTTCTACTTAGGACAATGCAAGGTCTGCACTTGGAGCCTCAAGGTATCTGAGCAATCTTGATGTTCTCTACAGCCAATGAAACAAGAAACCCAGGATCCTACAGACCAGCTTTCTAGGTTATAGGATAAGATGTGATCTTTCATTGCTTCTATGTGTTTGGTGTGAAGGTGATGGCAAGGTTCACTTCAAATTGTTACTCAAATAGCTGCATGCTATCCTGGCAGAAGTCTTGAGATTCCTCAACAGCTGCAACCCCTGCACTGAGCACACTGTTCCTAAAGACCTACTGTGTATTAAAAATAACTCCAGAGCAATGCAGGGCTGCATACACAACTTCATGGGTCCAACTATGCTACATTAAATTCAACAGAAATGAAGTTTAAACCAACTTCGAATGGACAAGGGATAAGAAAGCTAAGCTACTTCTGCTCTTGTTCTCCCTCTGTTTCTGATGCTAATTCCGCTCTCTTCCTATATTGGTCTATTAAACAACTGCATAAACAGTTTCCCCACAGCTCTGCATTCAGAGCAGGTTTCTAAGGACAGCACAGGAAGTGATAAGCTCAAACTTTCAGATGGGAAACCACACCTTAGAGCTCACTGTACAAAGTGGGCTGTGGCCTTCTCATAGCTCCCTGGCCCAGCAGGTCTCTCCAGGCTTTGCAGTGCCTCCTTCTCTCATGCTAGCCCTAGACTTGACCCTTTAGGGATCTGATTTAACTTACATTTGGTGTTGGGAATCCAGTCCTTGAGGAACTGGAGGAGCACCAGCATCAGAGGAAAGAAAGCTGTGGGAGTGCCTTGCTGAGAGCAGAGAAGCAGAAATGCCTCTCACTGCAAAGTGAGCTATCAATCAGATGAGCCCTTTCATCTGACTGCACCCTTCATTTCCTTGTGGGTGTAATGTGACAAGTACTTCTTTTAGCAGGAGAATTTAAATAGCTGGCACTGCTGCCTGATTGTGCCAGTACAAGTCTGTGTTATGACTACACCCTAAGTGAATTATCAGGTCTGGTAGCCAGATGCACAGTACAGCTGCACAGGCTGGCAAAAGGCAGCAAAAAGGGACTCAGGCATGCATTCTGCTCAGGAAATGACTACTGTCTAAAGAAATACACAGTACGTTACAACATATGCTTTAGCCCACACCTTTCCCAAAACCATGCCCAAAGTGCACTTAGAGCAGAGCCCTTCTTGAAAGACTGGACTCTTCTTGCAACATATTATCTAAGCTAACAGCCAGGTACTTGGAACAGGGAGGTTGGCAGCACTCAGTTACTCACCTTTCTCTGAATGACTGTTGATGTCACCTGTAATTTATGTATTTAAAATCTCACAAGCAAACTTAAGTTATGCATGTTTAAAATAAAAGGGGGATGGGAAGCCAAGTGTCTGTGGTCTGCCACCACATGCCAGGTACTCTGTGCTTCTAGCAATGGGAGGCTATACGAAGGTGCTGGTGAAAGCTGGCTTTGAGCCCCTTGCAATACTCTGCTTGAGTTTAGGCCTGCTGGCTTTCAGAAGGTAGACTCTGGATCACCTGGGGCAATCACAATTATAAATCATACTGTAGCAACTCTCATTATGCACGATGCCGGTCTGGGGTGAAGGTCTCTTCTATAGCTTTGGTCCATGTTCTGCTCTGTGACCAGCTCCAGCTGAACAATGTACCTGGAGGTCTCAATTGCTTTCTCAGCCTTTCAGAAACACTGTAGTCCACAGGAATGTCACAGCTCAGTAAGTGATTCCCAGAGACTGCAGCAGGTGAAAGGTAGCACCCAAAGTCCAGCTTGTCTCTACGTTGTTCACTTTCTTTGTTAACTATAAAGGAAGAAAAAGAAGTTGTTCCTGACAGTTCTCTAGTTTTGTATGTTTCACAGATGACAGCAACTACGTATAACAACCTTGGAAAGACTCAGTAGATAATGAGCCAGAGAAATCAGCTAATGCATGTTGATTGATACAGAGACTGGGAAGCTGGGCTTTGCAATTTAACTTTTCTGGTTTTCTCACCTGTAAGAGTGTGTTGTCCCTAAATCCAAATCCTTCCTTTAGCAAAGCAGTGATGTACACGAGATCCATGCAGAGGAAAGGACTGGCTGAGTTGTACTTCTCCATGTTATCACAGACTGGAGAAGGGAAAAAGAAGGGGGGGATCTCAGATCTCAGCAAAATAAGAGCTTTTACCCACATTGTACACTTGAACTGACCTCAAGCCAAAACCAACTCAAACAAGCCCCCCACTTCTGTTAACAGGTACATAGGACACGTGGTGCATGCTACACAGCTGCTCTGTAATGTTAGGGAATAAAGCAGACAGTACTTCTAGTTTCTCTTAACAGCAACATTATCCACATAGCTCTTTCGAAGTCTGAATCTCTGCTCAATTGATAACTGGCAGGGAGCTGGTAGATTATCAATCAAGAACACAGGATCATGTGTTTGCCTTGCCTAGTCTCCAAGGATGGCTCCAGTAACAGATTCTGTCTTCCAGGATGGCAGCTTTGTTCATTTTTTTCCAACCATGTATGTCCAAGGACACGGACTAAGCTATTGCCCAGCCAACCACTGCCTCGCTATAGCTAAGTCAAGATTCCCTAGCAAGGGTGACTATGACTGGGAAATGGATTTGCACTAGGAGTTGCCTTCTAGACCTACTGTTACTGCTCTGTTCTACAAGCATCAAAAGCAGAGTTTCCTTCTTTTTAGCAATTAATAAGAAGCATCCTCCTACTATTGAGATGAGAAAGAAGAACACTGATTTAGGATCACAGAACTGATCTGATATTCTAGAGCTAAATAAATGGTTTGATGGTGTTAGATAAAAGCCACATCTCTGGAAATAAGCTCTCTCAATATATAGGGAGGAAAAAACAACCAAGACATGTTCAAGCTTTAGAGCCTGATCCCCATATTCAAAACCATCTTGAGTTTCCAGGGAGATTAACTGAAAAAAAACCCAAACCTGTTTTAGAGAAATGTCAGTCCTGAACTACGTAATTAAGCACCTTCTGATGGAAAATACAGTATAGTAATCATCATGAGGATGATCCCAACTCAGAGGTAATGTCTGTCTTGTTCTTAGCCACCAGTTGCATGGCAAGGTGGCAGCTCTTTTTTCACAGGAGGAGGTACAAAACTAGAACAAGCATTCAGGAAAAAAGCCGGGGGGGGGGGGGGGGAAGGAACGCAGAAGAGGCTGTCAGACTCAAACAACCCTTACTTTCTGCCTTCATTCTGTTAGAGATTAAAAAGGGTTTAAGGTGACAGACTTACAGAAGTCCACACTCTCCTAAACTCACATTGTTGCAGTTTGTCAGGAGCTCTTGATACAGGAAATTTACTTTACTGACATCTCCTCCCCTCCTGAACAGAACTGCAAAGCTGCCAATACTTTGTTTCCCCTCACTGCTCTATCAGTACTTTCTTCTGCAACAGTTGCAGGTGTTGGCTAATAAAAGGTAAGTGACGTAAGTAACATAACATGGAAGGTGTAAGTGGAATGAAAGTTAAATAGACCTTTTTTTATCAAACTCACACATGTACTGCCTATACGTTCATGATTTTGTTATTTCTCATCCACACCAGTTTCCCAAGTCTTATGACAATTACCTTCTTCGGCTTTTCTTTCAAAATCTCTCACTTCCAAAACACCTCCCTGTTCATAATCTGAAAAGGAAGAGATAAGAAAACATCATCATAGACATGAAAGCATTTGTGTTCTACACCTAAATTTACCCTAGATTGGAACTCAGTAGTACTGGACAAGGAGTGAGATCTGTTAGTAACAGAAGGTAGAGCTGCAAGTACAAGTGGAGCTAAGAGCACAAGCCTCATCTGCTGAATTCTGAACATTAAACTGCATTGATGGATGTATGTTCATTCCCTCAAGGCATTTTGTGTGTTTCCTTTCTCTACACCATTCCCTCTCCCTGCTCCCCAAGGCTCCAGCCTCCAGGGTTCCTCTGTCTAGACTCTGATGCTTATGCTCACAAGTAGTAGATTATCCCAAACCAATTTACCAATTAGGTTGGTGTCAACTGCTCGATCATAGTAATAGGAGAAAGCATAGAAGGAACGTCCACGAATCTCATCTGGTTGGTGCAGTTTCCCTTTGACGACCTTGAGTACTTCCAAGTAGCAAGGCTTGAATCCTGTTTCTCCTGTCAGGAAAGACATAGATGGGGTAAGCCAAAGAGGCATATCCAGGAGATGGGAAAAAATCGGTAGCAACAGGATGAAAAAGGGAAGAAACAGAGATTAAAGCATCAGTGGAATTAAGAAGATCTTAGATATCCCTCTGTAATCCAGCATGGCACCAGCATGTAGGCAAGGACCCTAAATCACCAGCATCAAGAGGAACTGCTTATAGCAGATCACAGCAATATACACAAACTAGTGTAGGTGCATGAAAAGCTTCCTCCATATCAGGCAAAACTCCCATTGTTCTGTGGTCATAGAACAGTAGAATGGTTTGGGTTGGAAGGGACCTTAAAGATAAACTAGTTCCAAGCCCCCTGCAATGAGCAGGGGGGGACATCTTCAATTAGATCAGGTTGCCCAGAACCACATCCAGCCTAGCCATGAATGTATCTAGGGATGGTGCCTCTACCACTTCTCTGGTCAACCTGATGACCTTTAGAGGTCCCTTCCAACCCAAGCTATTCTACGATTCTATGATACACTTAGGCCTACCAATTTTTGTACCCTAACACAGCCAGGGTACACTTAGCTCAAAGCCTCAGAAAAACCTCTCTCCTTTGCACAAGTAACTCTTAACAGTTCCTATAAAGGTAGCATTTGTACTAAGAGATTCTTACAGCTTCAGA